TTCGCAACGCTGATGCCGAGATTGCCCGTACCCGTTCCATTTTAGCCTCAATTGACGACTTGGAGAATGAGCTTGCGAAGATCGGGCATATTAGAGAAATCGTGAAAGCGTATCGTGGACGTATAGAAGGTCTCGATCAACGCCTGGATCAAGCCGCCCGCCGGAGACACTGAGATGCCAACCCTCGCGATATGTTCCTGTCCGCACTCCAACACACCTTATACTCTTGAACTTCAACCCTCAAACCTTTCTTTCTACCCGGATTACCCTAGCGCCATTACATAGTCATTCTATCCCGGAGGCTTCCCTATATTCGAATTTCCTCTATCGGTTGACGAGCCCACGGTTGCTTATACGCCCCATTACTTGTCTGTCTACCCTTCACTGCGACCTCGGAGGTCGATGGCGGTCATTGCAAAAGTAAAAAACTATCCACAAAACGACGGACGAGCCACACTGTGCTCGACCGACGAACAAATATGTGTTCATAAACCAGTTGTGTCCTCGCGGACCTTGTGTTATTATAACTATGCTGCCCAACGTTCTTCATGCTGATTCTGATTCTCATCGCAGAGGCAAGGGTTGCTTTTTGCTCTTTTACCTTCGTCTGTGTATTTGGAGAGGACTGCTGTTTAAAGATCGGGATATCGGCCTCGCGGCTATTATTGGCTTCCAAAACTACGCTAAATTGCCAGGGCAATAAGGTGTTGATAGCGTTGGTATACCTCTGCATTTATCGTCTACTTGGAGTGCGACTCCCTCTCATCTCATGATTCACGTGTTCACTCTACGAAGTTGATGACGCCGCTGTTCTTCTATCATGTTTCGATTCCCCGACGAGCATCTATCCTGTCTGTTTTGTTTTGACTGGGCGGAATCCATTTGCAATGATATCACCTGTGTTTATGTTCGTTGAAATCTGTTATTGAATGTCAGCTGCCGAAAGCAACCTGTACCATGACTCTGTCAATACCGGTTGACGACCTAACCATCAGGTAGCCTGAAGCATGTACCCCTTTCATCAGTCACCGCCTGATATGCCCATGAGGATACCCGGATGTGGAAGCTTCAGCGGCAAGTGTTGTATGTAAATATATTGATCTTCTTTTGTTGACTTTCTCAATGCATTTCTGCGCCTACAAGGCCTTGTCGATATGTGGCGGACATTTCATCTCCTGCGCCAAATACTATCGAACCTGCTGCGTGTGACGAGCGCGCCCAGTGCTCATCCATCTCCCGAGTTGTGGTGCCATACATGTTTACACCAGAGTACACAGAGGTTGATTTACTGCATAGAAGCCTCTTCGCCCTCGCCGCCATCATACCGGTGGATATCGTTTCCGGTCCCAAAGGCTGTAGAGATAGGTCAACAGCCAGGACCAATCGATTCATGAAGGTGGGCTACTTGGCATCCGCTGCAGTTTGAGGGTAGGCGACTGACGACGCAGGGCAGATGTAAGGTGGGATATCGGATATTCGTGATATGTGGTCAAGCACCCGCCATTACTTCATCCTTTTGCTCCTCCTTGGGCGCTTCTTTCCGACGCTCAGACAGCTTCTTGCTCCGCTTGTCGGTTTGAGGGAAGCGCTTTTCCGTCCCGCACGTAGAACAACAGACAACTAGAACATCCGCCCATGGCTTCTTGCGGCCGCGGCTGGCGTTTCGGATATCCTGCGTGCAGGTTACTCCAGGAATTAGAAACGTGTCGCAGCGCTTGCAAAAAGACCTCTTGACGTCGATGGGTAGCCGAAGCTGTGACTTGAGAGAGACACCGCGCATTTGCGACATATAGACTCGAGAGAGTTGAGGCAGTCGCTGTGTCGTTGATGGATTAAGCGGCTTAGTCGGCTCATTCGCCGATGAAACATCAGATCCCACCACTTGCGGTACTATGCGCTCCGTTCCTTGCATTTTGGCGCCATCCTCTGCTTCATCGATTTGGTCATTTTGTTGACTGACCGAGGGCTGCTGCGGGGATGGTTTCCCTAATGATTGTAGAAAGGTGGCCGCGTTGTAGAGATAATCGATCCGTGCGCGAATGTGGCTCTGCGCACCACCGGCAGAATCCTTCTTGCCCTTTGCTTTGGCTTTAGCCATGATGGAGAGGCATGTAATCAACCTGAGGTAAGTGAAAAGAAATTAATTCACATAGTAGGCAGCGGGGGAGTCTAAGCTTCTCGAGCAGCCGTCCGGCACTAACCCGATGCGGTAAGGAAGTTGGCCGCCGGTGACTAATGGACTCAATTCACGTGACTGGGATCTCGGAGGCTCAGCCGCTCCCATCCCTTCGCGCGTCGACAACCTTCTCTTCATCTCCATCGTCTTCCTTCGCGCTTCGACCTTTCCCATCCTCAATTCATCTCACAACAGTTACGAGGAGGATTTCGCATCGTCTTCGAACTAGATATCCGGCTTGCATAGCTTTTCACCCCCCGTTTTTATCTTAACGACATCTACCCAGGCTCGATTGCCTTGGGATAAGACGCGACAACAACAGAGTTTTCTCGAATACTTCCTTTATCAACACCATCCATCACCATGTCTCACGAAGAGGATCTCATCGACTACTCCGACGAGGAGCTTCAGACCACTGACGCGGCGGCCACCACCGCTGCCCCCGCCTCTAACGGAGAGGCTAAGAAGGGCGACTTGACGGTTTCTGGCGGCCGTCCGGACAAGAAGGGTAGTTACGTCGGTATTCATTCGACCGGTTTCCGCGACTTTTTGCTCAAAGAGGAACTCCTACGTGCCATCACCGATTGCGGTTTCGAACATCCATCGGAGGGTTAGTCTATCACGTATTCTTTCCCAAAGCTCCCTCCATTGCTCCATGTTCCAACGTCCGTCCATCTCCGCGGGGGAAAATCCATAGTCGTTCTGGGGCGCCCATCTCGCCTCCGCTTGCGGGCGGCATGAGGATGTCTGTTTCGCGTCATACATAAGACGAGTCGCCCTGCGGCAGTAGTGCATCTACAGCCTTATGCTTGTTTGCTTCACTTTACTCTGGTGAATTACGGCAACACCATGCTCAGGGGATACCACAGATTGGTTTGTTCGCCTGCAGAGATTCTGGACGAATTGTGGTTTGCTTCCGAAGAACACGGGTCGGACGCTTCTCCACCGTTCTCTGAATTGCAGCCGTCCTCCTGCCGCCTGCGGAAAGAGCTCTGAACAAGATGTCTTACTGCAGCTGACACAATTTTCGACTGTGTGCAAGTTCATTTGACTTTTGTTGTTTGGTGGAAGAACATACGGGACTATAATGCATCCCTTCGGACTCAAAACCTCGGGGATGGACGGACGCTGCGACGCGAATTGCTTTTTCTCTTTCTCAAAACTTATGGGTCGAGTACAAGTCTAACATACGGTTCCGCCTCACTACAGTCCAGCAAGTCTGCATTCCTACCGCTATCCTGAACGTCGATGTTCTCTGCCAGGCCAAGTCTGGTCTCGGAAAGACCGCGGTCTTCGTTTTGACCACCCTGCACCAGCTGGAGCCGGTTCCTGGCGAGTGCTCTATTCTTGTTATGTGCCACACCCGCGAGTTGGCATACCAGATCAAGAACGAGTACGCTCGTTTCAGCAAGTACCTTCCCGATGTCAAGACTGCCGTCTTCTACGGAGGTACCCCAATCCAGAAAGACGTTGAGTTGCTCTCCAACAAGGAGTCCTACCCCAACATTGTTGTCGGTACTCCCGGTCGTCTGAACGCCTTGGTCCGCGACAAGAAGCTTTCTCTGCGCAACGTCAAGGCTTTCGTTCTTGATGAGTGTGATAAGATGCTGGACCAGATTGGTGAGTTTATTTGCGTCAGGTTATCTTACGTTGTACTGATGATTTGTTATAGACATGCGTCGTGATGTCCAGGAGATTTTCCGTGCCACCCCTGCCGACAAGCAGGTCATGATGTTCAGTGCCACTCTTTCTCAGGATATCCGCCCCGTGTGCAAGAAGTTCATGAGGAACCCTCTCGAAGTCTACGTCGATGACGACACGAAGCTTACGCTGCACGGTCTGCAGCAATACTACATCAAGCTCAGCGAAGCGGAGAAGAACCGCAAGCTGAACGAGCTCCTGGACAGCCTGGAGTTCAACCAGGTTATCATCTTCGTTAAGAGCACCCTGCGTGCGAATGAGCTCGACAAGCTGTTGCGCGAGTGCAACTTCCCTAGTATCGCGGTGCACTCTGGTGTCAGCCAGGAGGAGCGGTAAGAATACTCGTTGCCCATGTCGTTGGCTATGCACTAACGGTTGGTAGTATCAAACGCTACAAGGAGTTCAAGGAATTCAACAAGCGTATCTGTGTCGCCACTGACGTGTTCGGACGTGGTATCGATATTGAGCGTATCAACCTTGCCATCAACTACGACTTGCCGGCTGATGCCGACTCCTACCTGCACCGTGTCGGTCGTGCGGGTCGTTTCGGTACCAAGGGTCTGTCGATCTCCTTCGTCAGCACCGAGGATGACGAGAAGGTGCTCAAGGATATTGAGAAGCGCTTCGAGGTTGCCCTTCCGTAAGTACCGACCGATGTTTACGAGCATGTGAACGAAGCTAATGAGTACTAGTGAATACCCCGAGGGCGGTGTTGACTCGAGCACTTACATGGCCTAGATGATTGGGCCTGTGCTCGCCGGAACAGTATGTAGCAGGAGAAATTGAGTTGAATTTTATCGCAGGTTTTTCGTCTTCGGTTTCCTTGTTTCCTTTGGCGTGATGGTTCGGTTGCTATTTAACATGTCGCTTTCTGGGAGGCACTGGTAGGGAAGGGAACATCTGGAGGATAAAAAGCGTACTAAATGATAAGGATAATAACTAGATGCCTGGGATGTGTCTTGGGCCAGTGCCTTTTAGCATGACAGTGTATTATCAAATGTTGCGATTATTTTGATTAGGACTGCTTGCTTCAGATTGACTCAGATGTGAGCCAGTAGCCAGTAGGATCACATACCAGCACCAGCAGAATCTCCCCTCCATATTACAAGCAAACAAAGAACCGAACACCTCCATTGCAACTGCAACATAGACAGCCCATCCACACCCGGAACCCCCCCACCCTATCGATAAGACCGAGCAAGCAAAAACCCCCCAAGATCCCCATCTCACTCACCGACCCCAAAACCTATGACGCAACCAGCCAGCCATACCCTCCCCACTACTACTACTCACCACCAAGTCAATCAATCCCTCCCCCATAAGCCCTCCTCACCTTCTCTCATTCCCTACAACACACGCAATCTCCCCTCCCCACACACACCCCCATACCGCGAGAAAGAAAACAATTTGAGTATACCTCAAAGAGATAGATAGAAAAAGAAAAATGACCCCCCGCTGCTTCATAGTCCGCCACGGCGAAACCTCCTGGTCCCTGAACGGCCGACACACGGGCACGACGGACCTCCCACTGACGGAAAACGGCGAGAAACGGATAAAAGCCACGGGGAAGGCGTTGGTCGGGAATGATCGGTTGATTGTGCCGAGGAAGTTGGTTCATGTGTATGTTCTTCCCTATCCTATTTTTTTTACCCATACATTACATCTTTTGTATATGTGATAGTTTTGGGGGGAGGGGTTACTGATAATGGTGATGGGTGTTATATAGGTATGTATCACCGCGCGCACGGGCTCAACGGACCCTCGAATTACTCGAAATCGGATGCAGGGAGAGGTTACCCTGGAATGAGGCGCGGAAGTCCGAGGATGAAGAGCCGATACGTACGGAGGCGAGGGTGGAGGTTACGGAGGCCGTCAGAGAGTGGGATTATGGGGAGTATGAGGGGTTGACTAGTAAGCAGATTCGGGAGATGAGGAGGGAGAAGGGGGAGGGGGAGTGGGATATTTGGAGGGATGGGTGTCCTGGGGGAGAGTATGTTTTATATCCCTTTAATTTATTTTCTTTGTTTTTATCATGGTGTCGTGGGAGGTGTGATTATGGTGTTGGTATTGAACTTGCTAAGCTAACTGTGATATCGGTTGCCACACTAGATCCCCCGAAGACGTGATCAAGCGTCTGGACGCGGTGATCGCAGAGATCAGAGAGAAGTTCCACAAGCCCTGTTTTGACGGCGACTCTTCCACGGGCAAGGGCGATGTTCTCATCGTAGCTCACGGACATATCCTGCGTGCGTTTGCGATGCGCTGGACGGGGAAGCCGTTGACGGAGACGGCGCTGATTCTGGAAGCGGGTGGTGTGGGCACGCTGAGGTGAGTATAATACCATATACCCCCTGGGTGTTTGTTTCCTGTGCATGTTGCTTTGCTGACTGACTGACTCTCCCCACGCCAGCTACGAGCACCACAATATCGACGAGCCGGCAATCATTCTCGGTGGAGGGTTCGTAGTCGATAACTGAGATGGCTGACTACCTGTAGAGAATCTCATAGTTAGCAAATAGAACGAGAGAAAGATCCATAGAGAATTGTTAACCACTCTACCAATACCCCATTGTATACTAACTAACCCATATCACATCCATCCATCATGAAAGAATTTCAGAACACCCAAATATCTTCTCCCCTCAACCCTCCCTCTTTTCCTCATCACCACTGCTATCCCCTTTAACGCCCTCCTCTCCCAGCACCTTCGCAGACCCCATGAACAACGCGCCAACATACCCGCCCAAGAAACGCATATCCTCGGCCTGCACGGCTGTCATCCTGAGCAGATTCTCCGTGTCACGGAGGTTAGCGTTCAGCTGCTCGAGCTGATTATGCAGGTTGGTGTACTGGCGCGTTTTGGCCATCGACATGGAGGAGCTGCCCATGGAGGAGGAAGGACCGGCGGTGGTGGAGGCGGGGAGGATGGAGTGTCGAGGGAGGGATTGGGAGTGGGTGTATTGGTGGGAGGGCATTGTTGTTCCTTGTCGGGAGTGTATTGAAATTTAGATTGGATTGGTTGTGGTGCAGGCGGTAAATAAGTGAGGTGAGTTGTAATGGTGATGTGTTGGAGAAGATACTGGGAGAAGCAGCAGATAGAGGGGATTTGTTTACCCCCGCGGTACTGTAGGTCACGTGCATGTGTCTCCGGCAACAATCACAAATATCATCGTATGCCATCAAACTGACCCATTCATTCATACAAGGTATACTATTACTGTTGCAACCGATTAAGTCTCGTTTATTGTCAACATGTTCTAATCAATGGAGCAGTTGCCGCGCCGACATTCCCGACACAGTTCCTCTCCCTAACACCCGGTAGGAACATGAACCCAGCCAAATCAAATCAATCAATCAACAGAATAAATCAACCCCTTGCTCTTTTTATGCGCCAGAAACCGGACCATGAATGAGAAAGATGACAGGGTGGTGGGATGTTCGCGCCAGAGCCCATACAGAACAGCACAGAACAGCTATGGAAGGAGACGGCCAAGGAAATCAAGTCAAAGGAGGGCATGCGTGTCAAACAAAGCAGCGGAGATGGTAGGGAATAGACAACAGGTCGATGCGCCGAGCTAGGTAGTGTACAACACTGGGTCTTGCAGAAACAAGGCATGTATGGTGTGCGTCTGGCAATGAACGTCGGTGGTATAGCTGTGGAAAGTCAAAAAAACGTATTTATCTGGTGGAGCTTCATGCTCATGCTCATTAATGTTCGAGAATGCCGTGCAACTTGAGAGGAAAAAGAAAAAGAGATAATCAAAGTCAAGGCAAATCACCACATGCAACAATCGTGCATGCACGCACGCACGCGCCCGCCCGACCACTCCGTAGTGGAAATCATCAAACGAGAAAGTGAGAAAGTGAAAGCCCCTATGTCCCTTGGTGTATATGTAAGAAAGCCGCAAACAACAGACAATTGACATGGAGTCTGTGCCCACCCTCCTTGCCAAAGCATCTCATTAAAAGTATATCCTTTATAGAAAAGCAAAAGCAATACGGGTTAAGGGCGTCCCAAAAGCATGGAAATCACCCACCCGACTGGGAAAGGGAAAAGATGGAGACGTTAACGAAACCAGTCGTGTCCATAGCAGTCAGCGCCAAGGCATGTGCTCAGCGACTTCGAAAGAGAGACGAAGGAAGGACGGGCTTCGCGACTCAATGAACGGGCGCTGCAGCTGGCTGCGCGCCGAGGCTGATCTGGCTGCTATGGGCAGAGGTCTCGGAATCGAGGTTGGCACTAGCCCCGCTGTCACCACTCTCCGCGCTGGCGCTCGCACTTCCTGTCAGACTTCTATGCTTGGGAGTGCCCTTGGCGGGATACGGTTTGCTCACCCCAATTTGTTGTTCAACCTGCTGCGGACCTACCGCATTGCCATGCCCAGGAGGATGGCGAGGGACTGGCGCTCGCATGTGTCCCGGAGGCGACGGGTGGCCGCCGTTCGGAGGCCCCTGAGGTGGGCCAAAGTTCTGGTCTTGGGCAGTCGCTGGGCGGCCCATTCGCGGACCAGGAGGACCACCGAAAGGAGCGGCAGGAGAATGGCTATTCCTCCTGCTTTGCGGGTACGGATGAGGAGGGTAGTCACCCATTCGGCTGGTAGTCATCGAGTTGGTCCGGGAACCAGCAGCCATTTGGTTTCGGTCAACAGACCCGTACCGGTTCGACGAGTAAGCCATCATAGGGTTGTCTAGGAGAGAGTCATGGAGGCCAGGAATTTCCTGCATGATACGGTCACTGGCGCGCTTCCTGTTTCCTCCAAAGTAGCGGCTGAACGTCCCTGTTCTACCACCTCCGCCGCCACCCGGGCCAGTGCTCGAAAGGAGCTCGGGATTCTTGCGAATCTGACTAGCACTGGGAAATTTCTTTGTCCTCTTCGATGTGATACTCAGCATATCAACGTTGTCCGGGTCGATCTGGGGGACCAAGCTAGTATCCATGGGATCGAAGTAGTCATCCTCGTCCTCTTCATCGAAAGAAGCCGCCTTGGAAGGCGGAGGTCTACGGGGACCACGACGCATATGCATCTCTTGCTCTCGAAGCTGCAACTCCCGCTGGCGAATGGCCAGCTCGCGTTCTCTCAAAGCCAGTCCAGATGGTCCGGGGCCTGGCGGAACGTCCGGATAACCATTAGCACCATTTGCAGGCATACCCTGATCACCCGCATCATCATAAACGACCAGATGACTGAACTCCTCGAGGCCTTCCAGAGACGGTTCACGAGGCATCCTAGGCCCGCCAGCCGGGGGCTGAGCGCTTGGTGGTCGCGACATTCCAGGCATCGGAGGTCCACGTCTCGGTGGGGGCATCATCATGGCGGAACTCGACCGTCCGGGAGGCGGGCGCATAGGGCCATTTCTGGGGGGAGGAACCGAAGACACCCGGGGCGGAGGCTGAGCCAGGGCCGGAGGGGGAGAGTCACGAGGTTTGCTCAGATTAGTGGCATTGATATGATGCAGCATTGCATAGAGGGTCTCGACGCGTGGGAGTTTGACATTGGACTCCGTTGCCAATTTGATGGGAGAACCGAGATACGTCTCAATCTCCATGGGACGCCGAGCCTGGAAATCCTGGTACATAGTGTTTTGTGTCTGGATGCTCGTCATTTTCTCCGTGGTCTTTTGGTTGAAGTCGCTAGGAAAAGAGCAACCGTGTGCTTTCGCCAAATCGATGAGTTCGTCGATCACGTCCGATATCAGCTGACGCACGCCGACTTTTTCTAATAATTGCTGTACATTTCCAGAATCAAACATAACGCTGGCGGGGTAGAAGGCAATAGGACTGAAAATGCAGTAGTTAGCAAAAGCTCGATATCCTCGTAAGCATGCAGGAGGATAATTCACCCTATAATACGTTCAAACTGTTCTTGTCTGATGTTCTTCGATACTTTGCAATCCACCTGGCCGGAACTCAGAGTCATCGCCAGCGCCGCAGCCATATCGGTCTGGATGGAAGAGGGAACGTTGGAGTTCTGATTCGTGGCACCGACCCATATTTCCGATGAGTTCAGGTGCTCAAACTCGCTGGCTCCGATCTGAGTGATTTCGACGCCCGATACAAGCGAAAGAACGACGTTTGTCGGGAACCGTTGTTCCAAATGCGATTCGACACCGAGGGTGTTGGTTGTGTTGACCAAGATGCAGGTGTGCTGAGGGGTCACAACGGACTCTATTACCGCGGCCAGGTCATAGACATCGGGCAGAGCCTTGACGCAGAGGATTACATAGTCGTATGCGTTCTCTCGTGATGCTGCTTCTTCGGGTGTCCGAACAACTATCGTATGATTCTAGTCAGCACACGAGCGACAAATGTGTGACAAAGGGACAGGACTCACCATGGCGTGGCTTAAACCGTTCATTTCCAAACGCTTTCGACCTAATTATTCCCCGTCAGAACCTTGCCATGTTGTGAGAATGAGCGACCAGCCATACTTGAAAGACACGCCGTATTGAGAAACTGCCTCGTAGCCCGATTTCCAGACCAGTGTCACGTCGCAGGAGGTTGTCGCCTGGAGCCTCCAGGAAAGGAACGCCGAGATGGCATTGCTGCCCACTAAACAGACCCGCGTTAGCAGACGACCCATGATGATGTCTGAATTTAACGTAATCTAGGAGTCTCTTGGATGACAGCGACCGAGTGGACCAGCAAATCATCCAAGAAGAAGGGTTGTCGGGAGATGACGATAGATGGTGTGGTTTTCTGGGCAGCGGCTGAGCACTAACCTGACAGAATGCGCAAGCGCGGCGGAGGAGCCATGATAGTCGATCAAAATGGGAAAGAAGCGATCCGATCAGCCAGTACGCGGTGGTTGTGGAAAAAAGCAATGGACCGTTAGACTGGAATTAGGTATCTCCTGAACCACAACTAGAGGCGCGATTGACGCTGCCTAACCACGGAACGAAGGGACGCAATCCGACGACGACTGAAGCCAGGGTTGATGTCGAGATCGATCTAATAAAGGACACACGCGAAAGGCGCCAAGGACGAAGATAACGAAAGTAAGGGGAATCACAAAAGGAAGACTTGACAATAGAAAGGGAGATTCAAATAAAGACAAACGAAAGGAGGTATGGTTCAACCGTAGGAAGGGAGTGGAAAGTAAGTAAGAGAGAGAGAGAGGCGAGGGAGGGAGGGAGGAGGAGGGGGGGTGGTGGGAAGGTGAAAGGGGAAGAGGAGGAGGAGTTAGCAAGTCAGTAGGGAAGAGAGTGAGCGAAGGTAGCGAAAGAGAGAGAGAGAGAGAGAGGATAGGATGGGATGGCAGATGGCGGATGGCGGATGGTTGGAGTAAGAAGCAAGATGGAAGACGGTCAGCTTTGGGCGGAAAGGCAGCCCGAATGGGTGAGTTATGGAGCCGTGCGTATCTTTTTCTGTAATTTTTTTTTTTTTAGCTTTCACGGTTTATCTTAATTTTTCTTTTTTTTCTCTTTTTAATTTTCTATTTTTCTCTGTTGGTTTTCCAAAGTCTCTAACGGCCGTGGA